GAGGAGTTATTGCATCTATTTTAGTGGTCGCTTGTCTGTTTTGGGTCGGGTTAGTGGATCAAGTTGGGTTTGAGACAAAAGGGTCACAAACTCTAAACCTTTCAACACTTCCAGTTGCCGTTGGTCTATATGGTTATTGCTACTCGGGACATGCGGTTTTTCCCAATATTTATACGTCAATGGAGAATCCTCGTCAGTACCCAGCTGTACTTTTAGCGAGGTAATCCAAACTCTTATCTATTTATTATTTTTTATTTTCAACCTTGATAAAGTTTTGAAATTACCGAAAAAATCCAATGACGTTTGGTCACAATTTATATATCCCCATACATAAGCAAAAAATATTCCAGAGAAGTAGCTTACATTTATGAAAAGCATTACCAATTACTCCTTAGGCAGAGCCAAAGCTCAAAGGGTTCTTTCTATTTCCATAATTGTGAAAATTTTCTGGGTTCTATTCTTATCGCACGAAACCTCAGGGTAGTTTTGTAATTTTTGCTCGATTATAATTTACGATCCAGTCAGTTCTTACTTCATTTGATTCATTACTAAGTTGCTTATCCGTGAAGTGCTTAACTTTGCACATGGGCTTTATCATGCCAGTCTTGTTCTCTTTTACGACAAAAGATCATTAGCCTATTTAATTATGTCATTTTTTCCACTTTTTGCTATTTTTTGAATTTGTGAATTAAACTGTGAAAATGCAGTTTTGGGATTTGCACGGTGCTGTATGCTGCAGTTGCTGTGATGGGATACTTGATGTACGGTAATTCGATACAATCTCAGTTTACACTCAACATGCCCCATGATTTGGTTGCTTCGAAGATTGCTTTGTGGACCACGGTACGTTGAAATATAGCTACTCTTGCAATGAGTTTGCATTTTTTTTTCGTATGTTGGTATTAAGTAAATCAAGATTATCCATTGTCATCGATGTTTTTTTTTTCTTCATTTGCATATAAAAATAGTACTTAGTACTGTTCGACTTCATTTAGTAACTTTTTTGTTTTTTGTGTTTTTCTATTTTGTTCATTTGCAGGTTGTTAACCCATTCACAAAATATCCTTTTTCCAGTTAAATCCGCTGATCAGTCCATTCAGCAACTGAAGTTCCCTTCATTTCAGTTAAAAACACTCTTTACAAATCAAAACAATGCGAAAAAAAAAGAAGAAAGAAAAATACATTTAGCACAAGATAAATGAACAGAGGTATTCATTTGCATAGTAAGAAGTTACTTGGCTATATATAACAATTCCTTTTCCTTACTAATGAAAATTTACAAAATGAACACACCAGCTCCAAATTTTGAACTACATGACTTAAACTCCAAGAACTTTAAACAATCTCAACATGCAATCATTAATTAATCCCTTTGTATAAAGTGTTCTGATTTGTGTTGATTTCATTTAATTTTTCTTAACTATAAATACATATGCGTTGACTATGACTCCTGTGGCGTTGAGTCTCGAGGAGTTGATTCCATCTAGCCACGTCAAATCCTACATGTACTCGATCCTCATAAGAACAGGGTTAGTTCTGTCCACATTGGTCCTTGGTTTGTCCATCCCGTTTTTCGGTAAGTTCCTATATAGAGTTTAATTTCTTTGTCTCATGTCTGCTAATTTTATATTTACTAGGTCACAAATATTGGTGTTGTAATCGAACCAAACGAGTTGAGTTCGTTTATTTCGAACTGTTCGTGTTCGTTTGTCTATTTTTCGAGCGAAAAATTGTGTTCGAAATCTGTTCGTTTAATTGTTTGTCAGAGTTCGAGTTCGTTCGTGTTGGAATAATTTAGGACACAAACTTTTTAAATATGTTTTATTAACTCGAAAGTTGTTCGTTCGAAATCGTTTGAACTCGAAAATAAAATAAAAAGATATATTTTAGATTTTTTTATTAAAAATATCATGTAAATATTTTAATTTTTATTTACAAGATAAAATTATATTAAATTAATGTTTGTGAATGAGCTCGTGTTCGTTCGATTATTAAACGAGCCTAACTTTTGTTCGAACTCGACGCGATTAACAAACCAACGAGCTCTTGTCGAACACGGACAAGCTTTTTTGTTCGCGAACGTTTAGTTCGTTAACAACCCTCATACATGTTCGTAGTTCGTATCTTTTTTTTTTTAAATTTTTTTTAATTNAAAAAAAAAACTTTGGAAATTACAGAAGCCATCCTCGAGGTTACATTCCCGGTGGAACTACCGTAAATTATGGATGTCACCCAATCATTCTTACAGTTACATCCTTCAACTTTCTTAGTATTACAAATTATCCCAACTTCTGGTCTTGCATTTGCATACCTCAATTTTGCTATAAATATTACAAACATACAGATATAAAGTTTAATGACATTAGCCAATTCCTCGATTCAATTAGTAACTATTGAAGCAAAAAAAATAAGGCGTAATGGAATTTGATTCCAAAAAATTGTCTTGCTCTTTAGCAAATACCGCAAACCATAGGAGTAGTTTCCAAATTAGCTATATTTTTCCTTTTCCATGTTCCTCTTCTCTCTCTCTCTGTCTCGTAATCTTTATGTGAATAACAGTTCCTTTATCTTGTTACTCTACACACTTTCTTTCCATGCAGGTCTTGTTATGGCCTTTATTGGTTCTTTTCTTACAATGCTAGTTGTAAGTCCCTTTATTACATTTTCAAATTCTATGAATATGCTCAACATGCATGAGTGTTATGATGTTTTACAAACTGAATATAATTTGACAGACATTGATTCTCCCGTGCGCGTGTTACTTGAGCATTTTAAGGGGGAAAGTAAGCTTATTTCAGGTAAGTAAAATTTCCATGTCATGACTAAATTGGACTATAAATCAAGAATGGTATTTTTAGTTCTGTTATTTCTTCATGTGAACCTGGTGTGTATCCGTTCAAAACGATTTTTTTTGTTAATTATGGTTAATTTTAAAAAAGGTTGTATGGTAAGTTGTTAGTTGTATTTTGAGTTTATATTAAAATAATGTTTAAAATAAAGTAATTAAAGTTGATTTGCTGAAAAAATAGGAGAGAAATGATGTGAGTAATGGTTAATTAAAATTATGTGAGTGAATGAATAGTAAATTAAAGTTGATGTGATGTGTAAGAATGAGTGGTTACTATTATTTAATTATATTGATAATATTGAGGATAATGAAGTTGAGTTAGAGTTGATTTATATTTTGAGTATGAATTGAGTTATTTTATATACAAACACACCCTAATGTTTATCTCAAGCTTTTGATTAAACTTAGCCTCTAATTAAAAAAATTGACATAATTGCTTCTCGATATTTTTGCTTTGTTTTACAGGGCTCGATGTGCGTGTTGATCATTGGTGTAGGCACGGTTTCGTCGGCCATTGGCACCTATTCTGCTCTTGCCCAGATTATAGAAAATTTGAGCTGATGAGTAAATTTTTTTGCGGTGTGTTTATATGTAGATATAGATAATTGTGAACATTGCATATTGATTTAAGTATGTGCCACAATATGAAAACCTATTATTTTTGTGTATTCAACTTTCAATTCAAGTGTGATGAGCACAGTTTTGTTTGCAAAACCGTTGTTGGTCATTAAATTGTTCAGTGCTTGCACAGTTTTGACATTTGAAGGGATATGTGTTTGTGCTTGTAATATTTAAGGGAATAGTGTCGCTTTGGGATTAAATTATTTTACACAGTGTTACCTGTTATATGTTTTATGTTTTATTTTTTATTTAGCTTCCTAAAAACAATGCCACTTCATCGTNATATAGGAAAATGCTACAATCTCGGGATCATTCCCCTACTTTAAACTCCAATAAAAAATTGCCACATCACCTATGATTGTATACATCTAAGGTCATATCAAAACTAAAAAATCTAATGACTTTTATTGATTTGAAGGAATCATTCCTCAACGGGACTGTAGGATTCCCACATATTATATACGAAGTATTATGTATCAGTATCACTCGAAGAGGAAAAGGGGAATGTTAATGTTTGGGCTAATTTGCAAAATCTAGCCTGTAACTATTACATGTGGCAATACTAGCCACCAATATAGCTTGTAGCTGAGCAATGCAGTTATAAAACATTTAGTCCTTACAGAGATTGAGATTTTATTGAGACGGCACAATATGAGCCTTTAGAACTATTCTACCTGCCCTTCTTCGATATGGTCAAGTTCAAACCGTTTGATTTTGGATGAACTAAATTCTTATGAGCCTTTAGAACTATCCTACCTGCCATTCTTCGATATGGTTAAGTTCAAACCGTTTGATTTTGGATGAACTAAATTCTGATCGTAAGGCTTTAACTATTGAGAACAATGCACTTCTTAGTAAAATGACCGACAAACATATGGGAGTCTATTAAAACTATGACACTTTTTGCCTCAGGTAGGGCATTGTATTTTTTGTATACGATTATGGTAGAACTAGTAAGGCGTACTTGGAGAACTTTAATTGGCGGGTTTGATTGAATGTATAATCGTGTTGTGTGTTGCATCAAATTTTAAGGTTTCCAAAATTGGACCGATCAAGCTACTGGTTAAATGGTTCACTGGTCAAACAAATTGGACCGATATTTAGTTCATTAGTATTTTTAAATTTATATAGTATTTCATATAATAAAATTTGTATATAAAAGCTTTGTAAATTAAAGATTTACCCATTTAAAACATTAAAATACCTAAACTAACTAATAACTAACCTATGCATATCTATTATATTTAGATATGCATTTTTTATTTATATTAAAAAAATAAATATTTTAAAACTTATTTAAAAAAAATTGGACCGGTCCTTCCCGACTGTGACGGGTTCAACCAGACGTTGACCGATTTTTGACCAGTTCGCTGGCAATCGATTCATTCCTGCGAACTGGACCAGTCCAACCGATCAGATCAGCCGGTATAGTCGGGTTTTGACAACCATGAGAATAACATCTCTTCTATTGCTAGGTGGAAAAACTACATTTTCGATTTGACATACCTCTTAATCTACATGAAAATTCATCGTGCGAGATCAATCATTCTAGTCATCTCGCAAAGTTGATAATACATTGTTCTCTAGATATATGGGACGGGCCCCAACGATGCACAAGTATTGTTTTGAGTTATTGAAGCATCACTGTAGGCAGTCATGAGAGAATTGACCTGTCAAACAATAATAAATCGAGTCAAGCCTATTGTGTTTGGTGGAGACTTTCAACAAATCCTCCATGTAATTCCAAAGGGGAGCCGTTAAGATATTATTAGTGCAACAACTAACCGCTTCTGACATTTTTAGAGACTGTACTATGCAGAGGCTTACAAAAAGAAGTGTCCTCAAAGCCTTGGTGATTCGGATGAACGTGATAGGCTAGCTGGGTTTGTTGATTGTCTTGCGAGAATGGTAAATGAGACTATGTGGATGGTCAAATGATAGTTGTGCCGGGATTGACATAATAAAAGATAATTACTAAAACCCTTTGATGATCCAATTACTAAAATCATTGAAGCATGTATCTAGTCTATATCTATATAATGGACCGATCCTTATTGTTATACTTGACATGATTTTGGGCGAGAAATTTTTTCGTCTATATTTGACATTTAATTAATATTTATTTATTAGCAAATCTTATGCATGAAAAATATAATTAATATACACTCAGTGACTATTACTCATTACCTACAAATTGACTTACATTGAAATTTTGATCGTAGATTTGTTAGATAGATTTTCATTAAGATCTTATATTAATTTAATAGTAATTTGTTTACACAATCCAAAAAATTACTATTGAAATTAATTTGATTAAATATATTATCATCTATGGTTGTAGGTATTAATTTAATTAATTATATTCACTATTCAGAAGGACTTAAAATATTTAATAAAATAATCAGAATAACTATGTTTAAATCATAATAACTTAATAAATAATTTAAAACATAAATAAGAGTTTTTAAAATATAGTCAATTTAACTATAAAAAAGTACATCTCCATTAAATATATCATATGTTGTGATAATAATATTGAAAATTTAAATAATATACTAATAAAAATAAAATTTGATGGTCGGGTGCAATTCAGAGTTATAAATTTCAACTTAAAAGTATCTATGTACATTAAAAAACTATTCAATTTTTAAAAATATGTATTTTTTTCTTATATACTATTTTATAAATGAAAAATAAGTTAATAAAAAAAATAATATATAATAATTTAAATTATAGCACTTGGTAAAACTGGGAGGACCGATCTGGAGATCGCCTAGAAACCGACGTTAGCAATGCTAGAAACTACTCGGCAACACACAAACACAACTCACACTACAGATGCTCCCAAGAGAAGAATGAGAGGAAACGGTCCTAACATGGTAATACTCATTCACACTCGGGCAGAACAGAGGCCAACGGCCCAAACAAAAAACACAATGCTAACAAGCCCCATACACCAACAACATAAAACAAACTAAACTAAGAAAAAAATACAAACAAGGCCCTTCCCCGGCAAACCAAAACGGGTCGAACCAGAAGAGGAACAATCGACTCTCAGAAAGATCTCAGGCCCGAGGAACCGCCTCCGAAACTACAAAATGGCCTATACAGAAGTCGAATCCGAGCCCCAGACCGAACCACGAATCGATCCGCCTCCAACCGAGAGAATAACGAGACTAGCTCCCCATTCCAGAGCAACCCAAACTCGTCTAACACCACTAGCCGAGTTCGAAGGCTCTGGACCCCACTAACAAATGATGATCCAAGTTATTTAAAGAATGGTTATACTAGCGCCTATGTTGCAGGAATCTATCAATCAATACATGACGTTTTTGATAAATATTAATTTGTGGGGAGACAATTCATATCGCATATTTGTCTTATTCTTGAAGAAAACAATGATAAGTCATGTTCAGTTATATGTCGTTGTTTTATGTGTCACTAACGGAAAGATCTTTTGAAAATATTAATTTGCTGGGGATGACTAGAAAAAAAAAGTGATAAACTGAGCACGAGTTACGTACAAAGATAATCTATTACTATTATATAAGATCAAGAATTTACCTAAAATAGTAGGTAAATCCCACCTAATCATTTCAAATTTATTAAATTTAAATTTTAAAATTTTAAATAAATATAAGTATATATTTGATTTCCTTCTTCATAGGGGGTTAGTTATCCATTCGGATCTTTTGGGATCATAGATTCTTTCTTTTTTTTTTTTCTTATTGTGGATAATGTTTTAAAATTTATTCAATATCCCTTTTTTATAAAAAAAACACATTGTTTTATTTTTCCAGATAGTGTTTCAAATTTGATTTCAATATCATTAATTACAAAATTTCAAATACGTAACTTGTGAGTCTTCACTTTTATCATACTTCCTATTTTTTTTTTTAATTTTATAATATTTATATCATCTTACTATTTTTATTTTATTTGTTTTTTCTTTTTTCCGCTTTCAGCTTCTTAATATGTTGAAAATTCTTTATCCTATATTTGTGTTTATCTATTAAGCTTTATCAAGTTTTGAAAAATTTGATCGTATTTATTTGAACTATGTAATTACGTTCATCAATTAATAAAATATTAATTTATTTATTCCTTGAAAAAGTCGAAAGCTTGAACCATTAAAATTTAAAATACACTATACTTGAACAAATTTAGTAAAATTTTTTATAGCTAAAAAATGGATGGAACATTTCCCTAATAAACTAATGTATTTCATTGAACCGCACGATTTATGTACCATATTGAAAATATTATGATTTGATTTTTTTTTTAATATTAAAGCAAATATCATTTACATCTATATCTATTAATATAAAAAGAGAATAAATATTTACCTTAAATAGTGAGAAAAAATCCAATCTAAAATTTTTAATACTAAATATTGAAATTCAAAAATATTTTTAAATTTTTTCGCCTCTAAAATATAACAAATAAATTTCAAAGATAATTCTAAATTCAAAATATGATAATAATTCAAAATTTAAAATTTGATAATAAAATTTGCAGCACATATGTGAGTATCTAATTAGAAAGAAAATAACAAATAGAATGTATACAATATACGTAAATATATGGTGATTAAAAAAATAAATTATAAAATCTCATTAATATACTTTTTATATTAATTTGATCTAATTGATAAAGTAAATGATATTTTAAAAATTTAAGGGCAATTAATAGATAGATAGTGAATATAGGGAATACAATGTGTGATCTCAAGAAAATATACATACCATATTTTGTATGTATACCTTGAAAGGATACATACAAAATCACCTTAAAATCAATATTAGATCTATTCAACTGCATAATATGTTCGTTTAGTCTAACATTTAATTTTTAAAAATAACTTAATATGATCGTTTAGTTCAATATTCAATTTTAAAACACATTTAGTACAACATTTAAATTTAAAAAATAACTTTAATATTATTTTCTCGTGCATCGCACGTGATATGGACTAGTATAAGCAACAAGCCTACTTAACACGACAATAATACAAAAGGCGGGAAAAACAACTAGTGCGAAACACATAATAACAATACATCACACATAATAAGCAAATAATAATAACATTGAATTGATGAATCAGAAATCTAGAGGAAGCCCTTCTCCTTGCAGCTTTTTATTGCATCGTCGAACATTTCAGCTAGCCCGTTTTCATACTTGAACCCGGTGTCCTCTAGTTTCTTCGTGGATGCGGCTGGAATTTTAAGGGGTTTTATATCCTTCCAAGATCTGCATAATAGTAAAGAGAAAAAAAAAGTAAAATAAAATGGTACCTAAATTCAGATTCCTAAATAGGGGAAAAAAAAGGTACTACAATGAAATAAACTCACTCTGAATTTGGCATCTTGTATTCAGGGTACCTAGCAGAAATTAATTCACATAGTTTTTCTATAGTCAACTCAACAGCCACGCAAATGTATCGCCCTTTTGCATTTGGGTACTCAAACAGATGTATATGAGCTCTAGCAACATCGTCAACGTGAACCAAACTCGTGCCATCCTTGTAATGTAACTTGTCCGCTATCGTCAAATTTTCGAAAGAAAGAAGCAAATTCAGATGCACATTTGTCTACATATTCACGTTCGTCTACATTTATATATATATAACTAGTACGACACCTGTGTACTACACGGGTATATGAAAAAATAATTTAAACAAAAATAGTAAAAGAGTGTAGTATTGTAGTATATACAAAACAAATAAATAGAAGAAATCCAGTTAAGATGTGGTGTTAGAATTTCATTAAAAAATCAATTGAAGATTTTGGAATGAAAATAATTTGTTACCATATATTCGCAAGAAAATTGGAAATGTTGTTAACACAATTATCAAATAAAATAAAAGAATATAAAAAAATTAATTATCAAATAAAACATTGTTAACTCTATTATCAAATAAAAGAAACATTGTTAACTCGACATTGATCAACTGTCAAGTAAAAGATTCATTGTTAATACAATTATTAAATTCAAGTGATATATGATCTTTAAATTCAAAACCAATTTGGTAATCAAAGATAGATTTATGGGAGACAATGATGTTTGGTGAAAAAATTATTTATCTCACTTTACAGGACACTCTTGTTTCCAAATTTTTTATCCGAATCTAAATACAAAACATGATATTGTGACATGTAGGATTCCAAAGCGTGCGAACCTGCAACTTAGGCTCAACACATTTTGAATTAATATATAGGAGATATATATGTATATATTCAGTGACAAATTTACTTTAGGCCTGGGGTAGGCTGAAGCTCAAGCTTGTTATTATTTGTTTTTAATAACTGTTAGTTTGATTTTTTTTTTAATTGTGTTTCTAGCTCAACTCAATAAACCAACCCACCGATCATCTAAAATAACTCACTTATCTATTTAAGTCCAAAGAGTACAAGCACCACCTTAATAATGTATTATATATTGTTGACGCGCGCACCCTTCCCACTAGGTACTTACCCCAAAAACACCACTATATACCAAACTACAATCAAATAAGTTAGCCGAGGTCATGCCCCTCCCCTGAGTACCAGAACAACGAATTTAGAAGAATAAAAAAAATTATGATATTCAACAAGAAAGAGATTACTTTCAAGAAGACAATTTAATTTCTTCTTTGATAGTAAGTTCTACATTTAAACCCCCTATTAGATATTTGTTTCATTTGTCTAATTGTCTTTATTTATCTTTCCATTAAGCTATTTAGGATTTTAATAGTAATTGCTAGGATTATTTGGTTGTAATTCTTGTTTTGTTGATTGTATGAAGTCGTAAGTGTGTGTGTGTGTGTCATCTCTTATCCTCTAGTGTAGTTATTGTATATCATATTTGGATTTAAATTTATGGTGTAAGAATTTCATTTTGCCAATAACTATGTCACATGAAAATCAATTTATTGATACTGTGAATTTTTCATAAATTCACATGGAGCACCAAAGCCAAGAAAGAAAAAACACCATATCATCGTTCTTTAGAAAACGAGATCCCAAACTAGTGAAAGCAAATCAAATACGATTCAAAGTGAGCATAATGAATTTATTCTGTAAAAGCTCATCGAGCACAACTTCAGTGAATATTTGAAGAAAAATATCATGTGAGTTTTTATGAAAATGAGTTTTTAAAATTTTAACTTAGTATACTCTTAATTTCTGAATCCATCCCTGGGCACATTCACTATATGCGGGCACGAATCCATTAATCGAAACAAGTTTAATTTTTTCTTAGTAAAATGAGCTTAAGACTACGAAATTTGAATGATTTGCAGACAGACAAGCGAGTTTGCTAGACTCACCGAAAATCAGGGCCATGGACGCATAAACCGAGAAGGGTATGTGCTTGCAGATAAATGAGCCCGTGACCATAGTGGGCAAGACACACACGAGATCCAGCCCGAGCTCGTCAGCGCAATTAATGGCCGCTTTCTCGGCCAGCGTCTTGGCGACAAAGTATGGGCCCCCGAAAGGTCTCTGCCTCCTTACGAACTCCACATCAGTCCACGAACTTTCGTCGATCAGGCCCGATGGGCCTGTCTTAGCTCCCAAATATGCGGCCGCGATGCTCGAGGTGTACACCACGCGCCTAATGGTTTTGGCATCTGCGCAAGCCTGCAGGATGCCCTGCAGGCCCGTCGTGACCCGTTTGACCTTCACATCCTCGGGCTCTGTCTCCTCGAAATCCAGAGGATGGGCCACGTGGAAAAGCCCAATGCACCCCTCAATGGCAGGCCTGAATGTCTCAGGCCTGTCGAGGTCCGCATTGAAGATCTGTAGCCTCTCAGATGCGCCCGGGAGGCTCGTTAGGAAGCTGATGTTCCTTTTGCACTCTGAAAAAAAAAGAAAGATAAGAAAATGTGTGACATCATCGTCGACACGTTATAAGAGCATCTTTAACAATTAAACCCCATAAACCTCATTTTACACTTCCCATGCTACATCATTCAAAACCTCATTCTTACTCATACACCCATAAACCTCCAACAACAATACGAGAAATGCTATGGAGCCAACCACCAATGTTATAGTGCAACGTAGGTTATGTAGAGTTAATTATTTTTTCACATGGCCTACGTGGCACTATAACATTGGTGGTTGGCTCCATAAAGGAGTCAACCATCGACTCCATAGCATTTTTCATAACAATAAACCTTATAAACTTTTTTTTCTTATATGAGTCTCACATGTTTCCACTTACTTTTAATTAATATTATCCTTTTATATTTTTATTAATATTTTAAAACTGTAACTCAATTTTATTTTTATTCAATCTAAATGTTTCATATATTTATTATAAATATATTTAAAAAATTAATATAACTATATTGTATTATTTATAATTATAGAGTGTGAATTACGTACCAATGTAAAGTTTTACTTAAAAAATTACGAAACATAGGACTTACATAATATTGAAAATTAAAATCTGAGTAAAAATTGGAATGCCAATTTTTTTTATAAGGAAAATAACATAAAACTGTTTTTACAAACAGAAAATATTTTAACTAAATACAATAAAGTTAATAGGAATTATGAAATATTTTATATTTAAAAAAAAAAGTTAAAAAAAGATGGTGTCAAGTGGGAGGCAGGGCAGGTTTTGGGAAGGTTTGGATTTGTTGAACCATTTTGAAAACTCAAACCCCAAACCTGAGGTTTTTAATAATAATTCTCATAGTTTGTAATTTTGAATCTCCCAAAACTCCTCCACTAAAGATGCCCTAACGTCTCGATTGAGAATGCTGATTAGAGAATTAAACCTGGATTAATTCTTGAAGTTGTGTTGACATGATAGCCATCTTCAAGAAGCATTTTCACAATCCATGAGCCAATAAAACCTGTTCCACCAGTCACACACACACACCCTTTCTTGCTATCCATCATTACCTTTTTAATTCTCTCTCTCTTTTCTATTCTTTTATTTTGCTTCTATATTATGCGTGAGAAATGTGAAGACGTGCATAGGCTTATTATATAACCAAATTATAGTGAGGCTAATATAGTGAGGCTACTACTGCAAGGTTGGCCTAGCTGTTAGGCAGCCGCATATTTATTATGGAGGAGGTGGATAATTTTAAAGCTATGTACTCAATCTTATTATTATATTTGTGAATAAAAAAATTAAATAATTGTGATAAAAAATTAATATTTTATATTATTAAAAGTCTTCTTGTAAACAACATTTTTTGTTTTGTAGCCACACCATCCTCCCTGTGATCAATATTTTTAATTTTTTTCTATTAGTGACACGGGAAACAAATAGATATATACAATTGGTTGTGACTGGACACCGATTTCTTAAAAAATATGCTAACATGTGATAAAGATTGACTCTAACTCTTGTTAATCAAATCGAATCTCGTGAGCACCATGATCAACAATCAGCTTGGTAACATCTTTTGAAGTAGCTAGTTGGTTATTAACTTAAATATTGACACATATTTAAATATACACATGTTTGTTAAATGTAAAATAGATATTATATATAGAATAATAAAATAAAATAAGAAAATTAAAATTTAACATCGTGTTAAATTATAAATGTATTTGTTCAACAGAAAAATATGTATTTGAAATATATTTATATTATAATTAATAAAACATAAATTATTAACACAAAGAAGTATCGACCATAGTATTCTCAAGATTTTTTTTTCATTAATATCGAATATAATTAATCAAACATTTATATAGATTTTTTTAACAACCATTAGTAGTTTGGATAGTATGGATTCTAACAATCATAATATATAGGAATTTAAATAAATATTTTCTTTTATCATCACTTATTTATGCATTTGTTAGATATTAAATAAATTTTTTCTTTTATCATCACTTATTTATGCATATGTTAGGATTATTTAGAATCCCAATACGTCTGTATTTTTTTTTAGATTTTAATTAATGAGTAGCTTTTTGTATAGTGTGGATTATGAGAATCACAAAAATCTTAGTAAATAATTTATATTCAAATTCGTAAAGAATGTATTACTTACTAATTAATATTTTTTTTTTAATTTTGTTTTATTTATTTTTTTTCTCCAAAAACTAATCGAATATACCTTTATTAACTAATGATACAATTTGATAAGCATCATATATCCTTGTAACAACTAAATTAGATACAATATGTTTGATAAAAATGGATATTTGTTTGATCACGCACCATTTCAAAATTTTATTGTGCTTATCATTAGTATCAGTATTTTAATTAACATGTATATCCGATTAGTTACAAATTAATGTAGAGATATATTTTTTAACATTAGTATTCTGGGTAATGTGGATTCTAACAATCATAATCTATAGAAATTTAAATCAATATTTTCTTTTATTATCATTTATTTATGCATTTGTTAGGATTCTTTACAATCTCAATACTCACGTGTCTGTATTATTTGGATTTTAATTAATGAGTAGAGTTTTGTATAGTGTGGATTATGAGAATCACAAAAATATTGGTAAATGATCTAAATTCAAATTCGTAAATAATGTATTACTACTAATTGAAATATTTTTTTCTAAAATTTTGTTTTATTTAATTATTTCTCCAAAAACGAATTGAATATCCAACCTGTTTTATTAATGATACAATTTGATAAGCAGTATCATTTAGTCACGTATCTAACAACTAAATTAGAATACAATATTTTGAATTAAAATGAATATTGTTTGATCACGTGCTATTCCAAATTTGTTTGTGCTTACCATTAGTAGTATTTTAATCAACATGAATATCCGATTAGTTATAAATTAATCAACATGCATTTGTTAGGATTTTATACAATCCCAATGCTCACGTGGATATATATCAAATTCAAAAAAATGGCAAACCATATTTTGGAGAGGCAATCTTTTTTAAGCGTAATTTTAGACAGATAACATCATTAACTCTATAGTTATGCACATTCACAAATAACTTGAATTTTGGACAGTCCCATGTAAGCATAATTTTAAAAATGCTAATATAAAATATTTATATACTAAATATCAAGAAAAATAAATTGTGGTTGTATTTCTTTTTATACTATAGAACAACTCGTTCGTTCACAGCAAGATGCATGTCAACATACATAATGCAATAATTGCTCAATTTTATACAATAAACGACCCTTCGTATCCCATGTTATTCTGACTGAGAACAAATACTGTTAATTATTATTTTATCACTATATAATCATTGGTTTAAAAATTATAGACCTTGTTGATTCATTTATATTTTAAGGAACAATGAAACACAAACGTTTCCGTGTGGGTACTGACATTTTTATATATTATAAATAATTAGATTAAATCTCAATAGCATTACTTTTCAAAATTTAAATAATAATAGAAAAATTAAATTCCATGATTTTAGGTAGATAATAACTAAAGAAAAAAATTTAATAAAAATTAGATTCCATGATTTTAGGGAGACAATAACTAAAGGAAAAAAAATCTCAAAAAATCTAACCAAATTGTGAAAAACGAACAGAATTTCCGATTTTTTAAACAATTGCCATAAGTAGTAAGTCAAATAGGTTGACTCATTTTTTTTATGAACTTTTCACAAATGATTTATTAACTATCCTTTTTCAATATATATATATATATATATATATATATATATCATACTTTAGCAAATACCATCAACAAAAAATTGACATTTCATAACATATATATATATATTTATTAATAAAGTATGTTGGATTGACCTGCCAAAACTGTTAGTCCGCCTCATACAATAATTTCTGATAACCAAATATCGAAGGCTATTCTTGTCTATTCACTATGATGAATAAAAATCTCAATCGCTTTCGCATGAGACTTTGCAGCAATTTGCAAACTTATCAATTATTGAAGGTCAAGTATCTATGGTCCCATGATCTCATGGATATCCTCGCCAACCCAACACAGCAGTTTCAATTTATGGTCCAAAACATCCTATGTATCTGTTAGCATCCAGCCAAAGTGGACCAGCAGTTTTTTATTGTCCAAAACATCCTATGTATCTGTTAGCATCCAGCCAAAGTGGACCAGCAGTTTTTTTATTGAATGAGCCAAAATTTGGGACTGTTGTGGGCAGGGTGGACGCAGACTCAGAAGATTGAGGGGCACAAATGTAACTTTTACAAAGTGCAAAAAAAAAAACTCATAATTACATAAATTCAAATCTCATTAAATATACCTTTTTCAAATACCAATTTTTTTTCTTTTGCATTGGATATTCTTACAACGTCAAATTCATGGACTTTCTTATAAAGATATTTTATTAGTTAAAAAATCAATGACAAACACAATTTAGTAGCTAATTTTAAACTTATAATTACAATTTTAAGAACACCTAAAATTCAATATGTATCAAAATCAATATTAACTTTTGTGGAAAATCGACGTAACTCATTTATATATGTTGCCTACAACATAATACAAATACAAAATACAAATAAATTAAATTTTGAGAAAATCTCTTTGTAATTATTTTGCAATATAATTATATATGTACTAATTTTTTTTTTATAAAATTGCACAGGGGCACGTGCCACAACGGGCTCCTGCCTAGGTCTGCCCCTGGCTGTGGGATGCCATTGTTGACAATTGTGGGCTGGCATTTTTTGATAAATTGCAGCATTCATCCTCTATAAATAGCACCAATTCCAAGTGTTGAAGACACACCAAAGGAGAGAAAGAAAACAACAAGAAGAAATATTAGTATTCTTGTGTGTGAGTATTTTTCAGTGAGAGAAAAATAGAGCGTTTAAGTAAATCCTGTGAGTGTGGGAAAAATACACCAGGTCGGCTATCATCTAGATTACTCCTTGTTTGTAATATTTGAATAGGAGTGGGAGTCTCACTGGGTCACTATATTATACATTTCTAATGTAGGGGACTGTGAAAAGATATTGTAATTATCTTGAAAATAAAGTGAAATTGTTCGGAGGTTGTCCCGTGGTTTTTTCCTCTACATTGGAGGTTTTCCCACGTTAAATCTTGGTGTCTTCTTTCTTGCATATTTTATTTATTTGGGATATTCTTAGTATGCTCTGTGGTCGCAGTTTAATCTGATCTTCCACATTAGAAAAGAATTATTCCTGTTTTATTGCAAGAGATTTCTTTTGTCATTCTTGAGTTACTGAGATTGAGATTATTGTTCACCATTTTACATCGATGTTTTAATTTACACCTTCGCATTTGCGCATCTGAGCTCAACAGTATCGATATTTTTATTATTATTATTTTTTTGATCGGTACTATGTATCGATATTTGTTTAATGGATTCCTTGTCTATGGAGTATTGAGCATAGCTCCATTGAAATCCATGACCGAAATAGAGAGGAAGAAAAAGGAGGGTCAAAATTTAATCTCTCTTTTTTTTATTGTTTTGTCGATGTGGGAGAGTTGCCTGAAATTTCCTTGAATAAGTCGAGGAAAAATAATTGATGTTACTTTTTTTTTATGCTAACTTTATCATCAATTGTGTGAATAATACACTTATAGTAATTACTTTACATAATTATGTAAATCATAAGAAATTACCTTTTTAAATACATATTGCTCCTAATATAAATACTTTTAATAGTTATAGTTACGTATTCTACTTTTATATAATATATATATACACACACAAACACACGCCAAGTCACCACCCACATACACATAAACATACGCACCCATAAACAAAACACACCCACCCACCCACACACACATACACACACAAACACAAAACACATGCCGATAAACACACACCACACACACAAAATGCATACACCGGCGGTCCCGCCGACCACCTTCGTTGACTCTGTCCACAATCACCGCCGTTCCAGTCGCCTGCGACCGCCGGTATCGCCACCTGCGGTCGCCAGCAATTTCTCTATTCTTCCTCGCGAGTCGCGCTCAGGCAGAAGATGTTTTTTTTTTTTTTTTTNAGTCGAGATGCCGTTTTAGCCGCATGCGACCGTCTCCCCCTCAGCCTGGCAGACGCGTCGATTCCCGTTCCATATGATGCCGACGGCGCCGCTCACTGGGTCAATGGTCTTCCCGGAAGGTTCGAACAGCAGCGAGAATAGTCTCGTCTATTCTGGTGACACCAACTGTCGTCGCCGCTATCTACCGTAGCGATTCACGGCTCTACCGGCCTGAATATTGGCGGTGTCCGAAGTGCAGTTTAGATTTGGGGAATTGTTTTGAGAAGTCAATGTTTTACAAAGGTTAAAATGCAATTTCATAACTTATACTATATTTCAATTCAGACCTGGGGTAAAATCTATAATTTTATAAAAGTTCAATAATGCACAAAAAATATTAATTGAAATGTGCATTATAACATGTAGACTTGCACATTAAAAACTACATATTATTAATATTTTAAAATTGAAAATGCACATAAAAACACTTGATCCATAGATTGCCCAATAATGGTATACGAAATGCACATTATCATATATGGAGATGCATTTTATTGATTTCTTTTCAACAAAAAAAAAAAATGAATATAAAATATTAAATATATATTATAATATATAATAAATCACTTCAATTATTCCAGATAATATAGTTAACCAATCGAACAAACTGATTATTTCAGTTTTATTTTGATTTATTTTGGAATAAAACATTAAAAATGCTGACGCTGCAAGTGAACAATAGCGTTAGATGAATTCCACATTAGTTACTATCAGATTGCACAATAAAGACCGAAACGACTGAACTGAAATTTTCGGTTCGATTATCTGATTTTACTTTTAAAATCACTGTTATTTCAGTAATTTCGTTTTAGTTTTTTTGGAACAAAACATAAAAAATGCATACACTGCAAGTGCACAATATCATTAGATGAGTCTCACATTAATGACTATCAGATTGCACAATAAAGACTGAACCGACTGAACTAAAATTTTCGGTTCAAAATTTTATATTTCGGTTCGATTATATGATTTTACTTTTAAAATCACGGTTGCTTTATTTCGATGTCGACTTTAATTTTTAAAATAAATAATCGAACCGGCCGAACTATATGAAAAATATTATTAGTTTTTTTACATATTTTTATGTATGGCGATTGTACATTATGGTTATATGAATTGAACATTAAGGACTATCGGATTGCACATATCGAACAAAATGGACCGAACTAAAACTTTTGTTTGAAATATTATATTTCAGTTAGATTTTTTTTTTATATTAGATTTTTTTTTATATTATTACATTAGGATTTTTTTTTTACTTTTAAAAACTCGGTTTTTAATCTAAATACTTTACTAATAATAATAATAATAATAATAATAATAATAATAATAATAATAATAACTTTTATATAACTAGGTGTTTAATACAAATTATATTTTGATTAATTACAAATTTGACACATGAACTAAAAATTGTAATATATCAAAACTTATAAAATTGCAAATAGGTCCCTATGTCTTGTCAAATTCTCAAAAACATATCCCAGCTATATCTCCCCCACCTGCGACATATCATACCAAAATCACAGTGATGTTCATCGCCGACGTTGTCTTGCGACGTTCGACGCCTACGTTCGCCGGCGTTCTAGCCGACGAACGGCAAAAAACGGTTGAGAATTCCTCGTCCCCAAAGCGGTTGACGGTTGAGACATTGTTGGAGGCGACAGGAGCGATGGCCCAACATTCTTGCGGCTGACGGTGGAAGCGCCGACTAAGGATTCTTCGATGGATGCGCTGAACAGGGATGTGGCGGAAGGCGAGATCACGACGGCGGGCTGGTGGCGTGTGTGTGCATGCTGCGGCGGCGGTTGGGTTGGTGGTGTCCGCTTCCTTGCTGCATCTGTGTGTGTGTTTTGAGTGTGTGTACAAAGTGAGAGAGTGTATTTGTGTAGTGTGTGTTTTAGGTGTAAGTGTGAGAGAGAGAGAGATAGTGGGGTTGGTGGTGGGGCTCATGGTGAATATGTGTCTAATTTGTCCCTCCTTAATGGTCAATTGCATTTATTTGACCAAGATATCTCCACTTACTTACGAGATTGTCACCAAATGTTTGACTATCAAATGTTAAAATTTGACTTGATCATGACCATTGATATGTAGGATCCAATGGTACAGATTTATTATTATTTCTTTCTCTATTTATTTGAACTGAATATAGTGTAATTTATTATCGGTTACATGCACCGTACGGGTTGTGTGCTAATTTTAAATAGACACTATTTATGTAATTTTGTCCAATTTAAATTTTACATAACATTTTTAATAAATTAATAAAAATAAACTGTATTAAATATTAATTTTATATTTTTAATTTATAAATATTAATAAATATTTTTTACCCGTGCATCACGATTCATTAATAAATTGCGCTGACAACGTGGTTAAAATCTGAAGAATTACATGGTCTTGTTGGTTAAGGTTGGCCATGCACGTAACCAAAAATAACATTCACAACTATATATAGTTGGATGTATGAATATGATCGTCTTTATTTATTTATTTATTTTGTTGGTTTAGCATTCCAATTTCTCGTTCTCTCTCATTACAGTTTCGCAGAATCTCCACCTTGTACGCTCCAATCATTTTTTACCGTTCTTTCTCATCAAACATCTGAAAATTCACAAATACGTACTAAGAACCTGTTTTGTTCCAATTCCTAAACATTCCCATTTGATTCAGATCAAATCATCCTTCTGGTGAGTTTTCCCTTCTCTCTCTCTCTCTCTCTTTCGCGCCATAATCATGTGCATGCATGATCCTTGCCTTCTTCTTAATGTGGATCAAATTTAATAACTGACGGAAACATTTTTTTAGGCCGATCGAATTTATGGTTCCGGCATTTTAATTAGTATTATCCGGATCATCTTAGTTACTTTGTCCCATTTAAAATAAAATTTTTCCTTTTTTTTCAAACAGAAATTCTTTATCAGGGTAGTTTTCTTGTTTGCACACGTCCTGTTTGTTTAAATGTCCCACTGAATATCTGATGTGTTTGATTCCATTGTTCGGGCTGTTGCCCATTATCAAGAATTTATCTGGGAACCATTTTCGCGTGGCCGGCCGCTAGATTCCCCATCATCGCACCAAATACAAACATGAGGCCGAATTGAAGCACAATCACAAGATGAGGGGATTGGATTCAAACGGCAATCTCGAGCTCAACACCGCCTTACAAAACGAGCTCGATTCTCTGCTACTCTTACAGCAGCAGAATAACCGAGCCCCTGGCCTCGAACGCGAACGTGATTTGGACATAAACAGGAGCGGAAGCGCACCCCCAACTGTCGAGGGCGCGTTGGGGGCAGCCGGGAGCCTTTTCAACCATCCCGATTTTGCGAAAACCTATGAAACCGGGAAGAACATTAGCGCCACCATGAGTTTGCTGTCTGAAAACGAAATCCTGTCCCACCCTGCTTACTTGGAATACTATTACTCGAACGAGAATCTCAATCCTCGGCTGCCGCCGCCAACTCTGTCGAAGGAGGATTGGAGAGTGGCGCAGAGGATTAGGGCCGCGTTTGGTTTGGGTATGAATGTGAGTGAAAGTGGTAATAATAGTGGTGGTGGTTTTGGTGTGGGCTCGTCTCTGTTCACGATGCAGCCGGGTTTGTCGTCTGTGAAAAAGAGCGAGGATGACTTGACGGAGCTGAGAAAGACGGCTCTGAGGAATCTGTCAAGGAAAAATTCGGTGGAGTCGTTTGAGAAAGGTGGGAGTTCGAGTCCTGGAATGGGAGCTAGAAGGAAGAGCTTTGCTGATATACTTCAGGTTTATTTTTAAAATGTTTTAAAATATACTTTTTCAAGTTTTAATAGTTTTGCTTTATCGTTAGAGCATCTCTAGTCGCATATTGTCCATTTTGTGTTGCATGGCATGGAGGAAGGAGATTATTAAATTATGTCTCCAGTGGTTAGCGTTAAAGATGGTTTAATTTGACATGTGTAAAATTATAATTGGTTGGAGAAGAAAAATAAATTGAATAAATAATATAATATATAATAGAAGTTGTTTAGAAGTACTTCTACATCTAGAAAGAGTTCTAGACTTTTTTATGCCACATAGATTTCCTTGTGCCATGTGGCAACAAAATAGAGCAATTGAAATAGCATTGGAGATGCTCTTAATATGTTGCTGCTCTTGAAAAGTTTTGTGGGATTTGAATGTTTGGTATATATGTTTCTTGCCTCTTTTTTGTAGTTTTTCTTGGTAATTTCGAAACTATTGCTGTAAATGATTACATGCGTATTCTCCATGTCACACGATGAATTTCTTTGGACATGTTAAATTAGCGTGGTGACGTTCTGAAGAATCTGTACCAATTAACTAGAGAATCGTGATATTATTATTGTGTCTTTCTTGTAAATTTCTCCATTATGACCTGAAATTGTTGGACTGGGCATCATATTTTACATGAAACAGATATTGGATTACAGCAACATTTTCGGGCTGCATAATTATTAAAACTTAATTCAAGCAAATAATTCATCATCTTCTTTTGGTTTGTGATTTTAGAGGTCTGCAACATTTGATGTGTAACGTGTGTCTGTTCCATAAAAATGGAAAGAAAATTTTTGAGACATGCTCAAATAACTCGTAAAATGTCCCTTGCCCTCTTTCTTTTCTAACTATGAAGTTAATTTTAGGTGTAAACAAAGGCACTACTTGCATATACTAACCAAACATTCAATCCTTGCTTGGGGAACAACAATATTCTCTTATAAAATTTGGAGCTCTGTGATTTTTGGCGTATAAGACAGAGGTGTGCTTGAGTATTTGACAAAAGCCTGAATAAGGTGCACACAAACAATGCTTGTATTATCCCACTATAACTTGAAAGTGTTTTTTTTTTTAAGACAAACCTCCTTTACTTTCAATAGAGTATAGATTAGTATCTATGTGCCAATAAAAGTTCACCGATCTCCATAGTCTGCACTTAAACAATGAAGCAAATACTTACAAGATGATATTCAAAAGGCAACACTTCCCTATATTTTCATATATACATGATCTAAGTTTCTTAAGTAGTAATTGTTTCCAAAACATTAATTTTCTTCGATATTTTTTTTTTTTTCATATGTACATTATATTTCTTTACAGGAAGGCCGTGGCCAACCTCTGAAATCAAACCTTTCACGTGCTGCAAGTCAGAGCTCAGTTGCTGATGCTGCAGATTCAACTGGAATGGCAAAATCGGAATCTTACGAATCTCTGGCTAGTGCCTCATCAAATCCAAGTGGTTTATCATCTCAATCAAATTCAAGGCCCGAATTGCTCCCAGCTGATGGCTTGAGTTCCTCCGCCAGCATTTTTGAGATAGCCGATATTGCTGCTTCACTTTCCGCATTAAATGCTTCAAGAGCTCAACTTCACACAGAAAATATCCCTTTATCTGCTCTTCAGATGAACATCTTGAACGACATAAACTATGCCAATTTAAGGACAAACGAATATCCAAGGAGAGCATCTTCAACTAGTAATCTTCTCCAATGCCAACATAATCCTTCCGATTTTGCAGGTTGGTATTTAAAGGGGTGATTGTTTATGGATTCAACTAGTTTTTATATGGTTTGTTTTTTAACTATAGTTAATTTTGAAGAAATGTGGCATGGTTAGTTGTTAGTGGATATATTAAAATAATATTTAAATAAAATAATTAAAGTCGATTTGATGTAAAGTAAGAGAAAAATGATTGGAAGTGATGATTAGTTAAATATGAGAGTGGATGAATAGTGAATTAAAGTTGATGTGATGTGTAAGAATGATTTGTTGATATTATTTAATTATATTGATAATATTGAGGATAGTGAGGTTGGGTTAAAGTTGAGTTAAATTTGAGTTTTGATTGTTTTTTTTTAGTTGAATCCATAAACAATCACACCCTAATATTTTCTTGGTATTCCTGTATATTTTTTATTTTTTATTTTAATTTTTTTTTCAATGATTGTATTTAGAATTTTCTCTAGGTTCACGTCTGGGTAGTGGTGCTAATGGACCAGGAGTGATTTCGAGAACTACTGCCCCACCACCAGGATTTCATTACCCTGTTATGGGTCCCCACCAAATCCAATATTTGCCGAAAGCAAATTTTCCTCATAGCCATGATGACTTGTGGGCTTTGGAGAAAGCTTATCTCGATGCACTGCTTATGCAGAGGAGGCAGCAATATGAAGCACTCCTTTTACAGATAGCTGCCAGTATTGATACTGCTCAATACCCCACGAATGCTGCATTTAGTCCATCAGCTGCTCCATTTCAAGAGAATCTTGGGCTAAATGCTCAGAGTCCGATAGTGGTTGCAAGAGGTGCGGCACCTCAGAAGGAGAAAAATACGCAAATGCCCTTGAATTTGAGAAATGTGAAGGGAGAATCGAGTGGAAGCAGTACGAAAGGAAGATTTGAGTCCCTTTTGGAAATGCTGAAGAACAATAAGAGCAAATCTTTGGAACTCTCGGACATTCTTGGTCATGTTGTTGAGCTAAGGTATTATTAATAAGCAGAAAGTGGTATTTTATTTCGTTGTATTAAAGGGACTGGTTGCCAATTTATTCTTTTAGAGGAAGTTTATTGATGTAGCTAAGGTGGAAAATAGATGAGAATCTGAAACAAGTCAAACATGTTTTCATGTGTGTGAAATTCAAGTCAATTATCAGAATAAAAATCGAAATGCATTTCTTTATGCTGCGGTAGTAGTAGGATATGACATTTGCAATTAGTAAAAATTATCCTTTGCAGCCATAAGCCGACAAGGAATATGCTTGCTTGCACACACTCTTTACGTTACATTTTCTCATAAACTTTGTTTTTCTTTCTGGTTTAGCATGGATCAATATGGAAGCCGCTTCATTCAGCAGAAGTTGGAGTGTGCTACTGTTGAAGAAAAGACGAAGATATTGGTGGAGATTATCCCCAGTGCTCGTAGCTTAATGATTGATGTCTTTGGAAATTATGTCATTCAAAAGGCAAGTTTCTATTATTTCCCATATAGAACAATTCCTGGTAAAGGATAAGTTTCCAAAGCTAATTCATGTTTTATTTCATTTATTTATTTATTTATTTATTTACTTATTTATTTTTGCTGAGCAGTTCTTTGAGCATGGTACTGAAAGTCAACGTAAAGAGTTAGCAGGGCATCTGATTGGTCATGTTTTGCCTCTCACTTTACAAATGTATGGCTGCAGAGTTATACAAAAGGTTTTTTCTTCATCTTTATNTTTAGTTCATACCCATTAGCCTTCTTTTTCTTTGAAAACAATGTTAAGGCATTAGTTTTATTACAGGCCTTGGAAGTCATTGATGTTGAGATGCAGACTAAGATGGTAGCAGAGCTTGATGGGTCTGTGATGAAATGTGTTCATGATCAAAACGGTAATCATGTCATCCAAAAATGCATCGAGTGTGTTCCTCAAGATAACATTCAGTTTATAATAACTCCATTGTTTGGACAAATCGTGAATTTGTCCACACATACTTATGGATGTCGCGTAATTCAGGTTAGAATACTTCTCCAATTCTCTGCTATGCAATAAAAAATTATACGATCAGCTTTTTATTTATTTATTTATTTTCTTTGTTAATAGCGTGTTCTTGAGCACTGTGATGATCCAAAAACCCAAGAAACCATTATGGGTGAAATAATGAGCTCTGTTTGCAAGCTAGCTCAAGATCAGTATGGAAATTACGTCATTCAGGTATTTATTTAGCTACATCTTAACAATAAAACTTTTTGTGTGGCTTTATTGATGATTAAATTATGGCTTTTTCGAATTTTATGAAAACTGAAAGAGCAAATGAGAGATTAAAACGATGAAAGTATATATACTTCGGTTGCTATTTGGGGCCTACGGGTTGAGCGCGAGAATGAACAATGCAATTCAAATCATTTACGACACATTTTATGCGCATTCCATATCTTTCTCATTTTTTTTTTCTTTCGAACAGCATGTTGTTCAGCAAGGAAAACCACACGAGCGCTCAGCAATCATTGGCAAACTCGCTGGTCAGATTGTGAAGATGAGTCAGCAGAAATTTGCATCTAATGTTATTGAGAAGTGTTTGACTTTCGGAGGTCCCGAAGAGCGCCAACTTTTGGTGAATGAGATGCTCGGTTTGACTGACGAAAATGAACCACTACAGGTAGAAATAATTTCTTTACACCATATTTTTGTTTTTTGAATAATTTCTCTCAAGCATCTTATAAAAGCATATTGAGTAAATTGTAATTTTAGTACTGTATGTTTCACTACCCTAACTTTTTCGTCCTCTTTGAATTGCGTTTTTTATTTTCGTCCCGTATGTTTGCAAAGAGATTACAAAAAGGTCATTTTCGTAACAAAAATGTCCTTTTATGTTTTGCAAAAAAAGGTTTCAATATCATCCTTATGTATGAAAAAAACCTTTTTGTAACCTTTTTGCAAACATACGGGGCGAAAATAAAAAACGCAATTCGAAGAGGACGAAAAAATTAAGGTAGTGAAACATACAACACTAAATTGTAATTTACTCAAGCATATTTGCTGCATTCGACAAAAAGCGTTCATATCGAAATTTGTAACTTACTCAAGCAGATTGTAAAAAAAAGTGTTCATATCGAAATTTGCAAAAAAATTTCAGGCTATGATGAAAGATCCTTTTGGGAACTACGTCGTGCAGAAAGTAATCGAGACGTGTGATGACAAGAGCCGGGAGTTAATTCTCTCCCGCATTAAGGTTCACTTGAGTGCACTGAAGAAGTACACTTACGGCAAACACATTGTATCTCGTGTGGAAAAACTCATTGCTACCGGAGGTAAGTCCATCTCAGCTGACTTGGAAAGGCGGAGTCAATTATGGTGATACAACTTACAAGCCACTTTCCTTACTAGGCCTCTAATTTGTTGTATTTTTATATGTAATTGGTAGGAAAGCATTCAATAAAATTATTTTTTACCTATATTCTTCTTTCTTTTTTTTTTTTTTTTTTTTGTGTACTTTGTAGAAAATCTGTAACTTTCCTGTAATCAATGGAAACATACTATATTTTTTATTATTAGTATGTAACCCGTGCGATGCACGGGCTGTATTTATTTTAGGGAATATTAAAAATTGAAATGTATTAATAAATAACAGAGTGATAATTTATAGAGAAATTATCAAATAATAAAATTTTTCTCATAAAAAAAAAGAATATTATTAAAAACCTTTCTTGTATACAACATTATTTGTTTAATAACTAAACAACTCGTCGTCCCCACAAACTAATATTTTCAACCATTTTCTATTACTTTCACGTGAAACAAACAACATAATTGTCTGTGACTAAAAATCAATTTATTTAATAACATGCCAACGTACAGTAAAGGCTGATCTTGACTCTTCTTTATCTATTACTTACACGCGTAACAACAACATATAATTGGTCGTGATCAAAACTGATTTTTGTAAGAACATATCAATGCACAACTCTTATCTATTACTTACGCGTAAAACAACAGTATATAATTGGTCGTGACTAAGAATCGATTTCTTTAATAATATGCCAACGCACATAAAGACTGACCCTGACTCTTAAATGGAACCCTAAGATTAGAAGTAACTGGTGCTCCTGCAACTTAAATGGAATCCTAAGACGGATCTATTTATATTATGATAATTTACTTAGGCACTCAGAAAAATGAGTTGTTAGTTTATCATTTTAATATCGATTACTTGATTAGTTAAATAATATTCACTAATATTTTTATATTTTTTTATACAAAAAGACTGACATTGACTATTAATAGAACCCCAAAATTAGAAGGAATTGGTGTCGCTGGAACTTAAATAGAAGTCTAAGATGATCTATTTATAATATGATAATTTATATGGTAGTTCGACAAATGAGTTGTTAGTTTATCATTTTAATATCGATTATATTTGATTAGCTAAATAATATTCACTAATATTTTTGTAGTTTTTTATCTTGTGTAAAAGAACATTAAACATGTATGTTTAAAATATTAAAAATACTAAATTGTATAAAGAATTAACATCTAATGTTGCGATATTGTTTCTATAAAGAATTACTATAAATAGGGTGTATTTAATGATAATGGCGGGAAAAGATTGCTAAAAATGATGTAAGTCAATTCTTATTTTATTTATATATATATATTTTGAAAATTATAATGTGACATAAAAAATGTTTGCTTGGGTATTTATAACACAAAATCGTGTGACATAAAAAATGTTTGCTTAATATTATTAAAGTAAAAAGTAAAAATACTAAATAATATGATAAAATTTTCCAAAATGCGTTTGTTTAGACGTATGATGATTTCAAAAAATAAGTTTTTCACCATAAAAGACGCAAAAAAATCGAGATAACAAAAGCAAAAAAATCTCTACATGATTTGGACAATAGTAAATCGAATGATATAGCAGTGATGAAAATCTTTACCATTCTCATCGGTTTTTTTATTTAAAACGTGTAGAGATCTTGTAGAACCGTTCTCTAATGTTGTATTTATCTTGTGGAATTGTACGTTTGAATTTATCTTGTAGAATCTTTATCTAATTTTGCGTTAAATATGCTTAGGATTAAAACGTGTTGAATATTTTACAATATTAAACAACACGCAATAATGGTATCTACATATTTGGGTTAATATTGATCTAAATTAAATGAATAATGTAAACTAAACGAATTTATATAATGGTGTATCATATCGACAGAGTTTGGAACCACGATTTTCGTGTATTTATCTTTTTAAATCATCATCAAAATTTTCAGCAAATTTGGTTCTACCCAATGTATGTTGAATTTTATATTTAACAATATAAAAGAAAACAAAATTAGGGTATCTATATATATGGGTATCTTTACCTTTGAATTAAAGGCGAATTCAAACTATTTGTGATGTCTTACATGTGTAGATTTAATTTTTTGAATTTATAATAAGCAGATGTTTATTATTATTATTATTATTATTATTATTATTATTATTATTATTATTATTATTATTATTATTATTATTATATCAATGTTATCATAGTAATAGTAATTAAAAATTTATATTAACATGAATGTTAATATTACACAGGTACTTAAATAATTGTTACGAAAAACTGAATAATATATGTCATTTTTGTACGGGTATATCGCAAAAATATATCAGTAAATGATATTCATACTGATATAAATATATCAGTATGGTTACGAAAAATGTTGATACCCATGTACAGGTATATCGAAAAAATATTTATAAATGTACGAGTTCATTTTTAGTATGACATACTGAAAATGTTACTTCATTTAAGTGAAATATTTAATATATCAGTAACTATTTTTCGTAACTTAAATGAAAATGCCAACTTATCAGTAATTTTTTATGGGTATTTAGTACATGTATTTAGTACCCGTACATGGGTACTAAATACCAACTTTTAAGTACCCGTACTAAGTACCAACTCTTAAGTACCCTTACTTAAAAGTTAATATTCACGGGCGTTATTAATTGTCGAATAATTAATTAATCTATTTAATAGTAACAAAAATAAATATATATTAAATAAAATAAAGAATACTTCACAAAACTATATGTATAGTTTTTTTAATTCACAATAAGAATTTTATCTTTTTTTCACTTTTTGTTGGACAATAATTTTTTTATAAAAACACCAATGTAATACCTCTTAATCTCTCATTTCCTAATTAATGAAAAGACAAAATGCCTTAAGTTGAATTCAATTGTCAAAAAAATGTTATTGAAGTAAATGTAATATCAATTAATTCATTGAAAAAATGACATTTAATAACATTTTTCGTAACTTAAATACCCATGTACGGGTACTTAATTCAAATTATTTAACTTAATTTAATGTACTCGTACAGGGGTAATACATGTATTTCATTACTAAATACATGAATAAGAAATGAAATTAAAATACCCATGTACGGGTACTTAATTCATGAAAAGTTGACATTTTCATTTATTACGGGTACTTAATACATATATTAAGTATTTAGTACTCATGCCAACTTATCAGTAATTTTTTATGGGTATTTAAGACATGGGTATTTAAGTTGAATATCAATCTACACGAGATATTTTTTCGTAACTATCTACACGAGATAGTTTATTCATTTAAGTTGAATATTCCCTCGTGTATATGCCAAAATATATCAGTAATGTAATTATATAGATGTTAAAGATAAGTTGGAATATATTCAAGAAAATCTCCAAATTTGTTACCTAAAAAATTGGGATTCCTATGATTTCGATTTCATAGTTGAGAAAATCCAGTGGTTTCCTAAATAATTGGAAAGAAAATCCAGCAAAATTGTTTATATTGGAATGATTCCAGTATTCTGTTTTTTGCCTGATTCTGTTTTGGAATGATTTAAAATAAAATGAAAATCAAAAAGTAAATAACGGATTTTTTTAATTGGTTTCCACAAATGGGAAGTCAATGGTGTTGTTGACCAGTTTTTTAAAAGTTTCCACAAATGACTTATTGACCTCTCTTTTTCAATATATATATAGATTTTACAAAAAATCTGTAACGGACGTACACAATAGTAGCATACTATTTACTATTCACTGCCCCTCTATTACTACTCACCGCCCTCCTTTTTACTCTTTTGTCCTTTCTCTCTATCTCTCTAATTCCCAAACTTTCAACGAGCCATTCGAGCTTCCAAAAAATTCTGAAAAAATGTCGAAAAAATCATACGGCATGGGAAAGGATTCTTCTCCGGCAAGATAATTTTTTTTTTTTCGGTTGTAAATTATTTTTAATTTTTTTTTTTATAAAACTGTTGCCGCGTCCGGCCGTCGCCTCCGGACGCGGCGGGGCTGTCCGGTCGGCCGGTCCGGACGACCCAAAAAATGTACGGCCCAGGCGGCCGTACGTCTTCCCACCTGGTCGTCTTGGGTGACCGGAAGCTCGTCCGGCCCTGCCGACCGATCAAGAGCCGGCCGAACATTATTTTTTTTCTATAATAATAAATTATAATTATAAATATAATAGGTTATAATAAATAATAATTATAATTTAATTATAATGAAAAATTATAAATTATAATAACTAGTACGGTGCCCGTGCAATGCACGGGAGCATTTATTATATATATATTTTTTAAAAGATATTTTTGTATTTAAGTTGCCTCATGCCATTAAAAATTTCATGAAAATGAAATTTATATGTTATTAAACACTTCCTTATGTACAACATTATTGATTTGATTCTTTGTCACGTAAAGTACTACATAGGTGTTCGAATTTATTCAAAATTGCATATTTCTAGTTATTAGTTAACAAATTTTAAAAAAATTAAAGGATCTTATTTATTAAACAAAATTAAAGTAGAAAAAAAAGTAAATGTTTTTAGGGATTTTCACCCATTATTTATTTTAAATCTAATTCTATATTTCAATTAAGAAAAATTAAAAAAATCATTAGTTAGTCCCGAAAATGAAACCGATTTTTCTATCAATAAACTGATTTATTTATCAAACAAATTGATCCGAATTTTTTTTAAACCAAATAAAAAAATCATCAATTTTTCCTAAAAAAGCAACTAAATTTTCCTAACATTGCACCAATTTTTGTACCAAACAAATTGAATTGAAAATAATTCTAATAAAAAATTGAAATAAATTGTTAATGTTTATGCAACTGTCTCTTTCCTAAAGAAAATGATATGAACTTAACCAAAAAAAATGATATGAACTTACCAAAATCTCGGTAAAACATGGTTAAGAAAAAATATAGAATCCAAAAAAATCGATGCATTTAAATTTTGAAAAGTTGCACATAATTTTTCTTAAATAATTAGATAAGGTGACTTTAAATATCTATGATGAACCGCTTTTGTTACCAAAAAATGTGGACACAATTTTCAATATACATCCGGTCCAAATATCAGTTTTATTTTAAAATGAAAATTGCACGTGGCTTTATCCAATTTACACAATTTTTTTGAAAGAAAAAATTATTCAATAAGATTAGAAGAATTGGTTAAGAATTATGCAACTATTTGATTCCTAAATTTGTATCCAATTTGCATGGTTTTTAAATTAATTTGTATTTAGAATTGTTTTCATAAATAATTGACACATTTTTTGCATAAGAATCTCCAAATTTGTTACCAAAAAAGATATGATTTAAATTTTGATAAGAAAATAAAATATGATACGAAAAATATGGGATTCAAATTTTGCCATAAGAATCTCCAAATTTGTTACCAAAAAAATAGGATTTAGATTTTGTTACTAAAAATTCACATGTGTTTTTTTGAATTTTCCATTAATAGTAAGTCAAACATTATATTTATTTGGTCGAACTTTCTATTAATGTATTTTTCCAACAACCTCTTTATATATATATAGATAGTTAGATACTTATAATTTAATTATAATGATAAATTATAAATTATAATTTAAAATTATAATTATTTTAATTTAAAACAAAAAAATAATATATTAATAAAAAAATTTATATTAATTAATTTATTTGAAAAAAAATTAATATAATTTAAAACAAAAAAATATTATATTAATAAATAAAAAGTATATTAATTAATTTATTGGATAAAAAATATTTTTAATTATCAGAAGAATAATAATTACTAAATATTATTAAATTAATTAATCACTATTTAAATGGTTAAAAAATTTCACTTATTAATAATAATTAATTTCACTTAAAAAAGTTAAATAAAAGATATATTAAAAATATATATATATATATATTAATAATTAGTTGTATTACAAAAATTACATATATATATATATATTAAAAGATATATATAAATATAGTTATAATAATAATTATTTTGAATATATAACATAATAATTTATAATAATATTATTAAAAAAAAACATGTTGTCTGGCCGGTCGGACAGGTCACGACCGGCCGTCGGGGCCGGACGCCATTTGGGCCGTCCGGTTTCGGCGGTCGGACAACACAATAATTTATTTTTTTTACATTTTGGAAAAAAATGTCAGGAGTAAAAATGTCTAAGGGAGAACGGTAAATAGTAATAGGGGGCGGTGAATAATAATGCCCTTTTAAGCTAATTTAAGCTAAATCATAGCAACTAAATTAAGGTACAAATTGCTATTACTAATAAGTTCACATAAACTAATTTTGAATTTATTTTATAATTTTTAATGTTTACCCTTTAAAATTTTATACACTATTGCTATAATAATAATTTTAATATTATTTTATCTAATTAATTGATCATAATCATCCTTGTGAAAATTACATTATTACAATCAATATAAAAATACTATCAGACAAGGAAAGGCGGAGTCAATTATGGTGATACAACTTACAAGCCACTTTCCTTACTATGCCTCTAATTTAATACTATTAGACAAGGAAAGGCGGAGTCAATTATGGTGATACAACTTACAAGCCACTTTCCTTACTAGGCCTCTAATTTGTTGTATTTTTATATGTAATTGGTAGGAAAGCATTCAATAAAATTATTTTTTACCTATATTCTTCTTTCTTTTTTTCTTTTTTTTTTTTGTGTACTTTGTAGAAAATCTGTAACTTTCCTATAATCAATGGCAACATACTATATTTTTTATTATTTTAGAAAAAATCTGTAACAGACGTACACAATAGTAGCATACTATATTTTCTGTAACGGTGCTAATAAATGGAAGCATATATAATCAATTTGCAACATAATTTCAACAATTGTTTCGGTTACAATTTTAAGCTAATTTAAGCTAAACCATATCAACTAATTTAAGGTACAAATTGCTATTACTAATAAGTTCACATAAACTAATTTCGAATTTATTTTATAATTTTTAATGTTTACCCTTTAAAATTTTATACACTATTGCTATAATAATAATTTCAATATTATTTTATCTAATTAATTGATTATAATCATCCTAAATTGTGAAAATTACATTATTGCAATCAATATAAAAATTCTATTAGAATATTTCCATTGAAATTTCATCATTTTCTCGTAGTCAACCTACTAAAACATTCATTTACATTTATATTAAAAATACGCACAAAAAAAGAAAAAACTTTTAAAGAAACATAAAAGAAAATTAACCTGCCCGAACCAATCCGAACCGGTTCTTTATTCTACTAGATAAAGTTTTATTCGTCCTTTCCTTGCTATATACATAATCACATGACAAACCAAGGCAGCCAAACACACATATATATAGTGACAATACATCAATCAATAAGCAGTCTATACTTTGGAATGGCCTTTAGATGCCTTTCTCTACTCACCACCAAACCAAAGTGTTCTTCCATATCCAAATCACTGGGCAGCAAACCATCGGGCAGCTCCCAATCGAAGCAATGCACCAACTGCGCCACCACCAACTTAACCACGGTTAAGCCCAACTGCATGGCCGGGCAGCCCCTCCTGCCCGAGCCAAACGGCAAGAGCTCGAAATCTTGTCCCCACACATCCACATTCCTTCCGACAAACCTCTCAGGATTGAAAACCTCGGCTTCTTCCCATGTGCTCGGGTCCCGACCAATGGACTTTGTGTTAATGATTAGCCTCGACCCTTTGGCCACGTAATAACCATCGAGCGTACAATTTTCTACGGATTCGTGAATCAATAGTGGGGAAGGCGGGTGGAGCCGAAAAGTTTCTTTCACGACCGAGTCTAAGTAAGGGAGTTCGTTGAGGTGTGGTTCTTCGACTCGTTTGTCCATTCCCACGACTTGTTGAAGCTCGTTTTGGAGTTTGGTCATGAAGTATGGGTGTTTGATGAGTTCTGAGAGTGCGGACTCGATTGCTGATGATGACGAGTCGGTTGCTCCAAATAGCATGTTCTATGGAGGAGAGAAAGAGAAGGAAAAGTAGTTATATGTAGTTTCATGAACTAATTAATCTCGTATTTTTATGACGATTTTACGTGGAGTAAATTGCAATTTTAGTATTGTATGTTTCACTGCTCTAACTTTTTCGTCCTCTTCAAATCTTTATTTTTTTTTAATATTCGCTACTTATGTTTGCAAAAAGATCTTTTTCGCAATAAAAGAGGTTCCTTATGTTTGGCAGAAAAGATTGCGATTTCGTCCTCTATATATGCTCAAGGACCTTTTTGTAACTTTTTTTGCAAACATAAAGGAAGAAAAAAAAAAGCAATTCAAAGAAGACGAAAAGTTAGTGGTTTCCACAATTTTAATCTTGTACTAGAAAAATTCTTGGACTAGAAATCTTAATCATGTTTCATTTTAAGGTGATCAAAATAGCGGTTTCAACGATTTTAATCTCGTCGCAACTTAACAGTCGAAGAATTTTCACCGACTGAAAAATCGAGTCAAGAGTCGACTTACCAAGAGCACGGCCTTGACATGGCGCCTGTTGAATTCGAACCCGGCCTCACCGGACTCCAAAATACCCATCATAGTATCCACAAAATCCCCACTCCTCTCCTTATAATTTTCCTCTCCCTCATCACTACAATGCTCACTACTACTATTCACCTCACGATGCTCGTCGATAATCCTCTCCAAAAACCCATCGAAAGTCTTGACGAGCTCCTTCATCCTCCGGTCCAAACCCTGAAGATCGAGCTTCCTCAAAAACGGGAAAAAATCTCCGAAATTCGGAACCGCCATCAAACGCAACGCCTCTCTCTTCAAACCCTTAAACCCTAATTTCTCGTCCAAATCCCCATCATCATACTTCCTCCCGAAAACCATTAGGCAAGTCATGTCCCCAATGAGGCCCGAGACCATCGCGCTCAAGTCCACGGGCTCAAGCTTCAGCCCGGCCCAACGAATGGAGCCCACCATGTTCCAAAGCTCGGCCCGTCTCATGGCCCGAAACTGAACAATCTTGGACGCGTTGACCAGGTTGACCGTGACCAGCTTTCGCATGCTTCGCCAGTAGGGCCCGTAAGGCCCGAAAGCGATGTCCCGCTGGCCGTAGCTGATGTAGTAGAAGCCTTGTTGAGTGGCCTTGTTCACGAACACGTGGCCGTGGGTTTTGAGAGCCAGCTCAGCGTAGGAGGGAGATGAGACGACGAAGGTGGGCCGGAGCCCAAAGCGGAGGAGCATGATGGGCCCGTGTTTTTGGGCCAGGCGGTGAATGTCTTGGTGGGGTTTTGGGCCCAGCAAGTGAAGGTGGCCTAGGAGTGGAAGGGCTTTGGGACTTGGAGGATTTTTTTTATGCTGCTTCATTTTGGGTAGTAGCTTGAAGTGTAGGGACCAAAGGAGTATGATTATTAGAGAGATTAATATTGTCCAAAACCAAGCCATAGATGGATTAATGTGGTATTGGAGTTGTTGGTATATGAGTATATATATAGGTTTAGTAAAATTAATAAAATATACCTGTAGTCAATTCTATATATTTTTTATAATGCATTCGGTCGGGCTTTTTTTTGGGGTTGGTGGAAAAGGGAAAAATCAACCATATTTTTTTGTAACACAATATTTTTGGGGGGTTTGGTGAAAAAGGGAAACATTAATCAACCATAAATTGGTCATGGATGATTAAATTTAAACATAGTAGTTAATTATCAAACCAATTATAGACTAGGACAACAAACAAAATATTTAGGTAAAAATATATCAAAATGTTAGTACGNTAAATTTATTAATTAAATATGAATTCATAATAATATAGCATAACAAAAATAGAACATGAGAGTCTTGAAAGAAATATTGAGTAGATAAATGAGATTGAGCTCGGATGATTTTGGATGAATGTTGATCGTCTCTCGTGAATCCTTTTTCACATGATGTGTTCGACAAAGAAAATATTTCCGACCAGCCCAGTTAAATCTCGCGTATGTATGGACTGAAATAATTTGTAGCCTTTTCTTCGCAGTCCTTGTTATGAATTACTCAGACTGTGACTGTGTTGAAAATTAAACTTAGATTTATAAATTATAATATTGTATTTTAAAGAATTATCTAGAATGTGGTAGATTACATTTGTGTAGAATAATGTACGAAAACAGAATTATGACATGTGTAGAAGTATGTAGAATAGATTTGTGTAGAAAAATCTAGGAAAAGTGAATTTTGTGGCATAGGCTAGAAACTTCTACCTTCTTCCAAGATTGCCTATAAATATCCCATGTATGATGTAAAGTGAATTGATGAGAAAAAAGTTTCTACCTCCTTCCAATAAAATCTTAGTCTAGCCATCTTCAAACTACTCATTTTACTCAACATTCACATACACAATATATACATATTCCAACAAAGTGGTACCAGAGCCAAGTTTATTCCATAATGGCAAACAACCTACAATCCTTTCAAGTCCCGATTCTCAACAAGAGCAACTTCGAAAGTTGGAGTATTAAAATGAAGGCTCTACGATGTGTGGGAAATTGTAGAGAACGGGTACGAAGAACCGCCGGATGAAGCAACACTATCCCAACAACAAAAGGATAGGCTGAGGGATTCAAGGAAGAGGGATAAGAAGACTCTCTTCCTTATCTACCAAGCATTGGGAGATGACGATTTCGAGAAGATCTCGAGCGCATCCACCGCGAAAGAAGCTTAGAATAAGTTACAAGTCTCATGCAAAGGCGTCGAGCAAGTAAAGAAGGTACGTCTCCAAACTTTACGAGGTGAATTTGAATCCCTTAATATGAAGGACTCCGAATCTATATCGGATTATTTTACTAGAGTATCGGCGGTATCAAACCAAATGAAAAGAAATGGTGAAAAATTGGAGGATGTTAGAATATGGAAAAAAATATTGCGCTCATTAACTCCAAAATTTGAGCATATTGTTGTAACAATTGAAGAAACAAAAAACTTGGAGGAGATGTCGATAGATATGTTAATGGGCTCATTACAAGCTTATGAAGAAAAACATAAAAAGAAGCAAGATATTGTAGAACAACTTTTTAAAATGCAAGTGAGCTCGAAAGAAAAGGATAAAGGGTCGAGCAACAGCCGTGGTGAATATTGGAGAGGTCGTGGCCAAGGCCAAGTTCGAGGCCGAGGACGTGGACGAGGTGGCTATACCAATTATGAAAAGAAAGAGTACGGTCGAGGAAGGAGTAACCAAAAATCGAGGTACGATAAGTCTTCCTCAAAATGTTATAATTGTCATAAATTTGGACATTTTGCTTCCGAGTGCAGAAGCCAAATGCTTAATATTGAAGAGAAGGCGAATTTCGTGGAGAGCAAAGATGAAGCCAAACCAAGTTTGCTTTTAGCTTACAAAGAAGAGGAAGGAAGACAAGATGACACTTGGTACCTCGACACCGGAGCGAGCAACCACATGTGTGGAAAAAGGAGTATGTTTGTGGAGCTCGACGAGTCGGTAAGTGGGAATGTCTCATTTGGTGATGCTTCTAAAATTCCAGTCCAAGGAATAGGAAAAATATTAATTCGTTTGAAAAATGGAGGTCATGATTTTATCTCAAATGTTTACTATGTGCCCAATATGAAAAATAATATTTTGAGTTTGGGTCAACTCTTGGAGAAAGGTTATGATATCCGTATGAAGGATTATAACCTTTCAATAAGAGATACCAAAAATAATTTAATTGTCAAGGTGTCAATGTCAAAAAATAGAATGTTTTTATTAAACATTCAAAATGATGTGGCGAAATGTCTTAAATCCTGTTATAAAGATTTATCATGGTTGTGGCACCTTCGGTATGGGCACTTAAATTTTGGAGGACTGGAATTACTATCAAAGAAGGAGATGGTAAGAGGGCTACCATCAATTAAGCATCCCGATCAATTGTGCGAAGGTTGTCTACTCGGGAAGCAGTTTAGGAAACTATTTCCAAAGGAGTCACTTTCAAGAGCCCAAAAGCCAATGGAGCTAGTTCATGCCGATATATGTGGTCCGATAGCTCCAAGTTCTCTCGGTAAAAGTAATTATTTTATGCTTTTCATTGATGACTTTTCTAGAAAAACCTGGGTTTATTTTTTGAGGCAGAAATCCGAAGCATTAGAGGCCTTCAAAGAATTTAAAGTCATGGTTGAAAAGCAGAGTGGCATCAAATTAAAGCCTTAAGGACGGATAGAGGGGGCGAGTTCATATCAAAGGAGTTCATGGAGTTCTGTCGAGAAAATGGAATTAGAAGGCCACTGACAGTCCCAAGATCCCCCCAGCAGAATGGTGTTGTTGAAAGGAAGAATTGAACCATTCTCGAGATGGCGAGGAGCATGCTCAAGACAAAGAATCTTCCTAATGAATTCTGGGCCGAAGCGGTTGCATGTGCGGTGTATTTATCCAATCGATCTCCAACAAAGAGTGTTTGGGGGAAAGACTCCACTAGAAGCTTGGAGCGGTGTGAAGCCCGGGATTGCTCACTTGAGAGTGTTCGGGAGCAAAGCTTATGCACATGTACCAGACGAGAAAAAGAAAAAAGCTCGACGACAAAAGCAAGGTCTTCATATTTATCGGGTATGACTCTAACTCTAAAGGATTTAAGTTATATAATCCTGATACTAAACAGATCGTGATAAGCCGAGATGAGGAGTTCGACGAAGAAGAACATGGGATCTTAGTTCCAACGAGGAGTTCAGTTACATTCCACACTTTGAAGAATCAAAGATGGAGGAGCAAGAAGGTGAAGTCGGGCAGGAGCATGTGACCCCACCAAACTCACCTGGGCTAAGCAATGAAGACTCGCCACCATCTTTCTTAAATGAAAGAGTCGCGCCACGTGAAAGAAGTCTTCACGAAGTATATGAAGACACTCAAAGGTTAGAAGATCTTACACTTTTTTGTCTATTTGCTGATTGTGAGCCAATAACCTTTGAGGAAGCTGAGCAAAGTGAAAAGTGGCTAGATGCGATGGATGAGGAAATCAAAGCCATCGAGAAGAATAATACGTGGGAGCTTGCAACGCTCCCTAAAGGCCACAAAGCTATTGGAGTCAAGTGGATATACAAAATAATGAGAAATTCAAGTGGAGAAGTTGAAAGATACAAAGTAAGACTCGTCGCAAAAGGCTACAACCAAAGAGAAAGAATCAACTATGACGAGGTATTTGCTCCTATTGCTCGACTAGAAACTATTAGACTAATAATTTCTCTTACAACTCAAAATAGATGGAAGATTCATCAAATGGATGTTAAGTCGGCTTTCTTAAATGGAGATCTTGACAAAGAAATTTATATCAAGCAACCATTGGGCTACGAGGTGAAAGGCCAAGAAGATAAGGTTCTAAAATTGAAAAAGGCCCTATATGGGTTAAAGCAAGCACCAAAGGCATGGAACAAAAGGATCGATAAATACTTGGAAGAGAAAGGGTTCATCAAATGCCCACATGAGCATGCCCTCTATGTCATGGTCAAAGGTGAAGATATCTTAATTGTGTGCTTGTACGTGGATGATCTTATCTTCACAGGAAATAATCCAAGGATATTTGAATAGTTCAAGAAGGTGATGACTAAAGAGTTCGAGATGACCGACATTGGTCTCATGGCGTACTACCACGGTATAGAAGTGAAGCAACTTGAGGATGGAATTTTTATCACTCAAGAAGGATATGCCAAAGAGATCCTCAAGAAGTTCAAGATGGAAAATTGCAAGCCGATTAACACACCAGCAGAGTGCGGGAACAAGTTGTCCAAGCACGATGGAGGAGAAACGGTGGATTCTACCCTTTTCAAGAGTTTGGTTGGTAGTTTAAGATACTTGACATGTACAAGGCCCGATATTCTCTACGCTACCGGAGTCGTGAGTCGCTACATGGAAAATCCAACCACTACACATCTCAAGGCGGCAAAGAGAATTCTTCGATATCTGAGAGGTACGCTCAACTATGGTCTGCTCTATTCAAATACTAATAATTACGAACTTGTTGGGTATAGTGATAGCGATTGGGCTGGAGACAATGATGATCGAAAAAGTACAAGTGGCTTTGTATTCTTTATGGGAGATACTGCATTCACGTGCATGTCAAGGAAGCAACCCATAGTCACACTGCCAACATGTGAAGCAGAATATGTAGCCGCCACATCCACAGTTTGTCATGCAATCTGGCTAAGGAACCTGCTAAATGAGCTTGGGTGGCCACAAAATAAGGCAACAACAATTTGTGTGGACAACAAGTCGGCAATTGCACTAGCAAAGAATCCGGTGATCCACAATCAGAGCAAACATATAGACACACGCTTTCATTACATCAGAGAATGCATTTCAAAAAAGGAAGTTCAAGTGGAGCACGTCAAATCACAAGACCAAATTGCTGACATTTTTACCAAGCCCCTCAAGTATGAAGATTTTACAAGGCTCAGAAGTTTGCTTGGGATGACAAATCAAGTTTAAGAG